TTTCTACTGCTACATATCCTTTACCTTCAGACTGTACACTTAATAAAATTGTCAGTTTCTACTGCTACACATCCTTTACCTTCAGACTGTACACTTAATAAAATTGTCAGTTTCTACTGCTACACATCCTTTACCTTCAGACTGTACACTTAATAAAATTGTCCGTTTCTATTGCTAGATTCCCTTTACCCTCAGACTGTACACTTAATAAAATTGTCAGTTTTACTGCTACACATCCTTTACCTTCAGACTGTACACTTAATAAAATTGTCCGTTTCTATTGCTAGATTCCCTTTACCCTCAGACTGTATATTAAATAAAATTGGCATCTTTTACTCTTAAGTTATTCGCATGAAAAAAAAAATGTTATCTACTCCCTGCTGTAACATGTGTAAAATTCATCTGGCCTCTTCCATCTGTGTATGAGACATATTTCTTTTGCAAACAGTCCTGGTGTGCCCTATTGGTTAGCATACCTAGACTGTGAATCGAAGGATACATGGTTCACGACTCCTTTCCCTCAAAAACTAGCCCCGCACTTTGGGACCGCGGATATGCCAAATGCTATTACTCGGTCAGACAATAGTAGCTCAAGAGTTGGTGGTGGGTGTGGTTGACTAGTTGTCTTCCGTATAATTTAAAAGATCAAGAATATTGGCGCTTTGAGCGAAAAATTCTTAAATATACAAACAAATCATTTGCAGATGGAGATACAAAATACATACAGATTGTCTTGTTAATCACCCGCTTTGTTAAAATCATATTGAATACAAGTGTTGTGTTTCATAAACCCAGTTCTGGGTTTAATTTCATTCACTTCACAGGTAAATGTGGCAAGATGGTACACTATCAAAAGAGATAATATTAAAAGACGTTTTCTGTGTTTATTCGTTGTGTAAACGTATTAAACGAGTTCTAGTTTTCACCGAGGGAGAGAGAGTGAATAAAAAGATTAAGGCTTGTTGCTTAAGATTAAATGGAAGCGAATTATATCTTGTTACACTTTACAGCAGTTCGTTGATGAGAAGATGTACCAGGAGGCTGACCATCCCAGCAGTGGAGGTATGCCTGAACGATGGGTAGATGCAACAAATGAAGAAGACTTTTTTGAAGATGGCGTGGAGCTTGACACTGCTTAAACCAATAGCCATCCAAATGATCAGTTTCAATCTATATGTCTAACAATAAAGTCATCGCAACGAGCAAACAAAAAATCACTATATAATCCTTAGGAACACGTAAATACTTCATATATACAGTATATATATACAACATCACTAATATAATTATTTACGTATAACCACCTGTCATATACCACGACAATTTGGAACCTGAATTATATACATTGTTGGTAAATTCATGAATAATGATCCAATAAACATATTATGATAGTAAATACTTATTAAAGTATTTGGATCTATAAACATTTTGAAATATATCTGGATGCTGTTAAACGTACTTCTATCAAAAGAAAGTAAACACATGTTAACTTTTAATTTGTGTAAGTTGTATTTAGATTTATTTGAGTTCTAATCGAGTTCAACGTTCGAATATAAAAACA